AGTTCATGAATGAAACATCTTTTTGTGTGTGTGGTGTGTTGTTTCTTGCCGTGTGGCTGTACACCACACACTACAGGACCAAACCTATTATATCCATGATTTTCTATCCTCATGTGTGGGCTCTATCAGTCTTTGAAAATCGGCCGACTGTTTTAAAATCTTGTAGTGTGACTCAGCCTTTAGTCATCAGGATTTGCATTTTAAAAAAAGAAAATGACACTAACCCAGTTTTAGAGATGAACATCAACACATGACATATTACACCCAAAGTCCTCCCTATAACTGTTTCTGCTCAGCTCTCTGAAGGTTTCACCACAACACTTCAATCAGGTTGAGGTTCTGGTTTCCAGTGGACCATTGCAGACCTCGATTGTTTTCATTTTGAGGCATTCTATTAGAGTTTATCTTCTGTCAGGAACAAATGATTTTAAGAAGTCCTGATTCAAACTTTTAGTGTGAAACACTGTGTTTGCATGGTGGTGTAGTAGTGTTTAGACACTTTTGGCTCTTGAGTCTCGTAATGAATTACCAGAAAGCTATGTTTGWATTCACTTATGTGTATTAGGTGGTTACTGAGTTATTTAATAAGAATGAAAACATATTTAATTCTTTAAATCGTATTTAAGTTGGACATGAAAGCAAGTGACTGACCTGATGGAAGCCCAAGTAGTCTTGGATGGTAGGGGAGACATAAAACACCAATCCTTCYGATGTGACCACCAACACAAAACCGTTCAGTGCCTGCACAGAAAAAAAAAACAGACAGTCAACATGTGAGAAGGTTCCTCACAAAACCTCTACATAGTCCATGAAGGTCTCCAACAATCAACAGTGTGAATACTCACTTCGTCTTTACTAATGTCAATATCCCTGTTTCAGAAACCGACATGGTTTGACAACAGAACGCCAAACTGAGTGTTGGTTTTGTCTCCTACCTGAAGCAGCATGTCCCCCTCAGAAAACCCTACGGTGTTCAGGTTCTGTCCATTCACTCCAAGAGTAACACGACTGCCGTTATGGTTCTGCATGGTGGCTGCACAGAGATAGTCAGAACACAGGAGCTGTCAGCACAAGTACTGAGAAGTACTGAGAAGTGTACCCCCACTGAAAAAAATAACGTAACAATTTGCACTAACGTTTGTTAAGTAAATTTAAATGCTACAAATTCATGTAATATTTACTCTCATCATTATCTAGTAAAAGTTATTAAGAATATAGTTAAAGCTTTGTGAATAAATCAGGTAAATTTTACTTAATTTGCTCAATTAAATCTTGTAACATATACTTGATCAAATTAATTAAAATTTATCAGATTTATTCGCAAATCATTAACTATTAATAACTTTTACTAGATAATGATGACTAAATATTTCATGAATTTGTAGCGTTTAAATTTACTTAACCAACGTTAGTGCAAATTGTTACGAGGATTTTTTCAAGTAAATCTTACAAGTTATTTATAACAGTGTACATGCGTCAAGCATAATATTGTAGCATGACACCTCACAGCTACAGAGAGAAGTGTGGCGCTTGTTGTAGTTCAAGACTTCACCACCAGGTGGCAGTTTTGAAGAACCTTTATTGGATTCTTCTTCATGAACAAAACAGACAAAGTGAAACTCACAGGTTGTGTCTCAATTCATGGGCTGGGTCCTCATGAGGACCCAGCC